ATGCGGTCATTCAAATAACTCGGGTCGATTACGTTATAGGTAAGGGGTATATCCCCTTGCAATTGGATTGGCTGAACCGAAAGGCACCGTACTATTGATGAGCCTGGAAAGACGAAACAGCTATCTAGTAAGTGCCATATCACACCTCATAAAAGGCTCAAAGCATGTTGTTGTATTAAAACGAGTTCTCCAAGTTCTAGAAGTCAGCAATTGAATATGATCGCTACCTGAATCAACGTAAAATGATTCCGTCTGGAAACTCTTGAGACTGCTTTCGCTTCAAAAGTATGTGTGAGTTCAACAAAAAGTGTGACGTGTCTAAAATCATGAAAACGTACCAGGTTGAAATTCTGTTGTAGTCCGGACGCTAGAGCCATCTGGGAAAGGATTTTTAAGGATATTATTTCACAAGATGTGGAAAGCAGTTATCAATGATCACATCACTAATAGCTAATGATTGAAGTAACTTCGAGGAAAACATATGCAAACATAGGACTGTCATACACTTTCGTTTGCAAGTGTTTGCGAGCCTCTCTTTCGAAACACTGCATTCTGATAACATATTTTGAGCCTTTCATGAGGTCTTTTGTGGCACCTATACAGTGCAAGACACATGTTTCTGACTGTTGGTCTAATGAAAAGTATCCATTTTTTTGTGATTCTTCCATGTGAAAATTCTGGTTCACTAACTTGTTTTGTAGAAAGAAGTTTCTTAGTACTTCTATTGATAACAGAAACGTTTGAAATCGAATTCACCTCTCAAACTCGCAGCAGGATTTAGCTATTATGCAATAAGATTTTGATTCTTCGAAAATTCCTCTCCTAGAAAGATGGGTTATTATTGTGAGGGCTTTTACAAATGATATTTCAACAAGAATAACGCATGACTGTCATGATCTCTGCCATTGAATACGCTTTTTTTGCATAAAGTCGCATTCTGTAGGATCTGTTTCGTAAATCCTTGGGATTGTCTAGGTAAAACATTTGACTAACAGTGATCATTGATAGCTTAAAAATGAAGATCTTAATAGCAAACGTGACTACTAGAAAGGACATCTTCTGCATGCGTTTTCAATGAAAAAAGATTACATTTTGCTTTCGCAGCAGTTGGCCGTTCTTACAATTTTCACAGCGTACTTATTGGTATACTAGGATTTTGATTCTATGAAAACCTTATCCACTCCAAAGATATAGGTTGGTTGGTGTTGAGAGGAAATCTTACGAACCTAGTTCTAGTGAAAAGAATGCCCAGCTGGAAAGCTACGCTTCTAGAGAAAACGCATTTCCGATTTTCTTCAAAAGAATGCGTTTCCAAGCCATATGTAACATAATGCTGATGATATATACGTTTTACCTGAAATATTTGTTTAATAATCAGACCACTTTTACCAACAACATCGAGCAAAAACAATCAATTCTGAAAATCCAGCACCACCCAACATTTCTCAGCTTGTGTATCCTTACACGACTGTACATGTGTACATTGTACATACATTGACCGTTTCGTACATCCCATAGCAATCGATAGTCTTCATATCCTGAACCAACCCACTTGGAATCACTACAACCTACAATTCAAGATACAAGATTTATACCTAGAATATGCAATGCCTAAGTGGGTTATCTGATCCGTTTAGACACTACATCAGTGAGAAGTATAGAAGCATTCCACGTACTTGCTGCAAATATACTTTTGGAAACTTTCCTAGCTTTTTTCTTTTGAGGGACATGCACATTGTCCAACGTTTGCAAACTTTCGGTGGCATTTATCGCAACTTTTACGTTGTCTAACATCACGCGGCATTAACGCTCCTCCCCCCATTCAATACTCCCTGGCGGTCAATACCGAAACGCCTATGTAACGCCCCAGCCACGGTTTCATGAGATCGCAAGACATCGTGCTTTGCCAGCAGTCTTCTACGAGGTTTGAGATCAAAAGTCGAAATAACGAATTCAACGCATTGAGTGCTAGAAGTACTGGGATCCGCACAGTGAAAAAAGAAACACTGTGAAGACGGATCAATAATGGTGTAGAAGTATATGACTGATCAGTTTAGTTGAAGTCGATATGCCGAAAGTTCCAAGACAGTATTCTCAATGCGACTGATCTTCAACTTTCACTTATCTACAACATTTCTAAGTACGCTGACTAAGGTGTCCTATCCTGCCCGCCTTCAAATACATGGGTATATTTTCTTTCAAATCTCTGGCGTGTTTCCAAAGTAGCGCAACAATTTCTTTAATGGAAAGTAGCGCAGCAATATATTCAAAGAAAAATAGCGCTATATTTTCTTCAATGAAAAATTGCGCAATAATTTTTTTAACGGAAAGTAAAGCAAAAATTTCTTCACTGAGACGACTTGCACTCCTCTGCAATACAACGTCATAGATTCAGATCTACTCGACATTTTCATCGTTTCTTTCCAATGTGGTGCTTCTGATATGAATCAATGGAGATGAAGGTGTCTGGAATCCATAGTCTTAGTCAGTTCACTAATGTGCATACGGTATGTCCATCCCATCTGTTCATATTGGTGGTGATCTAATCACAAAATATATACCCTTCTAACAAGTAATCCACTCGTATGGATCAAGCCTCGCGTTAAGCTGCCGGCTGATGAACTTTGCCATTCCAAGCAAACGACAATCGACAATCAATAACTTTGAAAAAACGCCACGTTGGATGATTTTACCATCTTAAGTAGAGTGTAACCTATGCGGCTTCGATTACCCATAGTAGGGAGCGAGTGGCGAACTGGCATGTGCTATCGAAGAGGCTTGCTGGTAAGCCAGTTCGCAGGTCTAGCACTCAAGGTGCCTTAACAGACCTCTGAAAGGCTTAAGAAAATCTTATCAGATTAGACTGAATTCTCCACCTTTCCTCACATTTACTAAAAAAATTTATTACCTGTATCACCTATCACCTGTCGCCCTGTTAAACGTCGAGGACTCGAGCGATTACCAGCAACTCTTAAATTTTCCCTATCGCGTGCAAGAGTAGCCCACTTGGTCCTCCTCGCTCTAGGGATTCGCTGAGCATCATATCTTTCTTCTATCGCTTTCGTGAATAAATCGCACCAACGGGTCAATGGTCTTCCTTTAGAGCGCTTGACGTCCCGAGGAATCCAGTCGGTAACGGCTCTCGTCCATCGGTTGCCGTTGAAGCGCATCACGTGTCCGGCCCACCTTATTTCGATATCCTGGCTTGCAGAACGGCGTCTCTGATTTTCGATCGTTGACGCCAGCTCGGAACTTCGGATCCTTTCTCTCATTTGCGAGATACGGGATACTCCTAGCATCGACCTTTCGACTGCGGCGTTCGATAACGACAAGTGATCTTTCATCCTGCTTACGTAGCGACCAGGTTTCTGCTGCATACGTCAGGGCAGGGATAATTGTCGAGTCGAAAAGGTGGGCGCGGGTTCGGATGTTCTTTGTCCTCTTTACTACATCTTCGATGCTTTAACGTTCCCCAAGCCGCTCCCTTCTCTCCAGCACACCCACACACTGGTCCACCAAACAGATGCGCCATGAATGTGGAACTCGATCTCATTTTCCATACTACACTGCGGTGAAACAGTCTTTTCAGAAAATAAGCGCAATGTAGAAATTGTCGGAAATCACGCTATAGAATGGTTACTTGATTGAGAAAAGGTCTCTGTATTGCGAGGAAAACGTGTCTCAAAAAACAAAAATGTTTTCTCTCTGCTACAGCGTTATAAAATAGCTTTCTCAGATAACGGTCACGTAGCGCAGTAGCCAAAGATTTTGATCTTTTGAATGATGACTAGAATTGCAATAAAAAGTTCCTGACCAGCAAAAGGGGTCGTTTCATTATTGGTCCCCATTATCCGAAAAGAATTCAGGTCACAATATCAAAATCGCAGTGACACATTTTCCTGGGAGACCGGAAGGAATGGAAATTCTGCAAAATTTCTCGAAACCTACAGATCGAACTTACGTTAAGTAACATAATATTTTATCGGAATATCACCAGAGATATCAATGAATGGAATCTATTCAAGCTCTTTTATCAATTATTATCAGTAAGGACAGTGTTCTGAAACGGGAAGAATCCATTATCACCGGAACGTAGGACAACATTCTCTGCAGGAGACGAATGGATCCAGAGTTCACTATTATCGTAATCATCGAAAAATTCTTTCGCCTTGTCCAAATGTTCAAAGTTATCACCCACAGGTGACAAAAGACTTATGCGCCGGTGCTTGTTCAGGTACCTTGTCTAAAGAAATTTGCTGCCACATTCACAGCTAAAAACAAGGAAAATGAAATGTGATTCCCTTCCTTGAGTATGACTCATCCCTTTATCAAAAGTATGAGATCGATGTGAAAAACGGCATTCTACTGTTATCTATCTCGATATCTCAAAACTTTCGTTTTGAGTTTTTCCTAAGACCACAGCTCAAATTTCAATATGCCTTGCAATCATTTTTGAGCCACGCATGTCAGTGGTCTGTCAAACAGGATTGACTTATTAGCACAGAGATTAGCAAAAGGCGAGAAAGGAGATTAACAAAAGACGAGGGAGGGTAACTGTCCGACTGACGAGATTGCAAGATCTAAAGACGTGCACAGGGCTTAATAAGTCAGCCCTGTTGACAGACCACTGACATGCGTGGCTCAGAAATGATTGCAAGGCATATCTCGATATCTTTTACTGCATATAAATTCTCTGAGAAACTGACAGAAAACATACCATGGGACGCACTCACTGAATCGCTTCTCAGAGATGTGCGTTACGCTGCGCATCATCCGATCTATCTTCCCACAAACGAACGCATTTTCACGATTTACACACACGTATGGTTCTACAGGTTGTCTCATATTTAGAGTTGAATTGAGTGACAACTCAGGAAAAAGAGTAAAAGCAAAAGGGTATTTATACATAAATCCAAGATCTCTTATGTTTAAAGTGCTTTTTTGCTGTGTTATGACGTTTCGAATGTACCAATGAGAATTGACGTGAGAAACTCGAATTCGACTCCAGGCAGGAATTGAATCTGCCTTTCACTTATACCGGGAGCGCGTGCTACCACTACACCACCGAGGTCACCGTTTACGTCCCCGGTATAGGTTGAAACGCAGGTTCAACTCCTGTCTGGGCCTAATTTCTGCTTACAACTCAATTCTCTTTGTATATTTGAAACATCACAACCTGCGAAAATGCCAGTAATAACATAATAATTCTTGGATTTATATAACTACAGTGGCTGCCAGCTCTACTGGGTTTATAGAGCAATATTGTCTACCCGACCAAACCTGTTAAAGCATGGTGGCTGATAGCTATGAAAAAGTTCCACTCCACTTTAGTTGGTAGGTTGTGCAAAAAGTTTGCTTGGCTTCAAATTTTTAAAACGATTTTTGCAATGAAATTGCATAATTTTGATACTGAACAGTTGTACATTTTCGTGTTGACGTTTTTGATATAAAATTTGCTTATATTTTCTCTAAGGTGCATTTGTCCTCGGAAAAAAAAACTCTCTTACCACTCATGCACGAATAACGCGTAGAGGAAAATAATAATGAAGCGGCGCGCAAGACTAATGAAGCTTCCTGTGGACGGCTCGAGTACGACTGATCCTCCAGATTATTATTTCCGGCTTTTAAACACCTCAAACCATTTTCTAGCCGTTTTTTTCTGTAACCGTATCATCGCCGCAAGCTCCATTAATCTTGCGCGCCGCTTCACTAGTATTGTCCCCTATGCGACAATCGTGCATGAGTAGCAAGCGAATGTGTTCCCGCGACACCTCCATCTGAGGAAAAGTATAGGCGAGTTGTATACCAAAACGTCTGTAAGAAAATGTGCATTGAACGATACCAAAATCATGCAGTGTCATTTTTTATCTTAGCACTTATTTGATCCGTCATAATAGTGTTATTTTCACTTTGCGGATCCCAGTACTTCTAGCATTCAATTCGCTTTTAGACTTATTCTTGAGCGGCGTAGAGTACTGGCTGAGCGAGTCCCCTTGCGATCTTGAGGATAGCCATGCTGTGGCATTCTATGTGTTGCTGTTGACTGCCGGAGAGGGGAGGGAGATGGAGCTCACATCTACACGCGCCGCGACGAGCATCCCACTCGGCTACGGTGCCCCGCAATTTAATTGCATGATTCACATCAAAAAACCATTAGGGCATAAACTTTTACACAACTTATTAATTTCAGTGTTTGATTTTAAAGCCGACATTAAAAAATAATCTTGTTAACTGCCTCATTGTGGCTTATTTAATTCCCTTTCTCCAAGGGATGCGTTAGGCTGAGCGCCTTCAGCTTGTTCCAGCTAATTAACACCATTCCTTATATCTCACGCTTATGTGGTCAAAATTTGCCTGAACCGAACGGATTTTCGTGGTCGGCGTCATGTTTGTTATTGGATTTGAGCGTTAAAGTCCGAGTGATCCCTGAGAAACGTATACGTGAGAAAAAATACTTATTCATTTGTATATTTGCCTAGGAAGGTGTGTGATGCCGGCTTAGAGATGTCGAGCAGTACAAATGCGGTCGTTTGCTCGAAGCCAAACACGTACCTGATGTTAATAACTCACACTTTCTTCGTCACAGCTCAAATTGACTTGAAGAGGCAAATCGTTTTCAGGGAAACGAGCTGTCGTAGTGTGAAGCTGGTCCTAAAACTTAACAAAGTAAAGCGATTTACAAGAACAAACAAGAAATAAAATCACAAATCATCCTGATTCAAAGCCCGCAATGAATTGATTAAAAACAAATAGAATATCTCACAATATTATTTGAGCCAACATGTCATGTGGTCTGATATGGGCTCGTGTACAGCCCGATGCACGTGTTTCGGTCTCGACAACCTCGTCAGTAGGGAAAGCCCTTCGCCTTTAGCCCAATCCTCTGGGGACTTCTACATCCCCCTGTAATTCTGGAAATTCCTAAGTGTCTCTGCTCGAATGACGAGGCTGCTCAAGGCTGAAATACGTGTATCGGGCTGTACACGAGCCCATAACAAACAGACCATGTTGGCTCAAATAATAACTGCAAGATATACTGAAGTATAAGCGTTGTCTCAATAAAACACTCGAATTAAACTACCTGAACAGTAGGAATATATCTATTCAACATTGTTGAGTGATATGCAAAACGTTCGAACGGGATTTGAAACCGTATCTCAGCCTTTCCTCAAACGCGGTTAACCACAGCACAGAGAGACTTGTAGCAGATCGAGCGCCGTTGCAATGGTTAGCACGCTTCCCCCGAAAGGGTGAGGTGCGAGTTCGAATCTCTTCCTACGTCTGAAGGTTTGCATATCACTGAACAATATTGGTTGCATATGTGTTACATCACATCACCGCTAAAAGCGATTCAAAAAAGGATTCTAGTTTGGAACGAGAGAAAAGATTGTAAACAGCTATATGACCGTCTCCGTAAGGCGATTGTGTACATAGAGATAGATACGTAGAGATAGTGGAACACGAGGAATCACTGAGTGCAATCGACTGGCTTAGCTGCAACCTCCTTCAATGTTAATTTCTTGTGATCAGAACAAATCAATAAAAATAATCAATACGTCGATAAGATCGGAAGCCAAGTGACAAGCATGACAATGAAATCGTTGCAACCTTTCGATCGCCAAACAAACGGAACGATGCGCAGATCGACGAATGCGGCAGAAATGAAAGTATTTTGAATTATTCTGTAATGTGTCCTCTGTCGTAACGAACTTTTACACTAGAGAAACAGATGAGCTACAGTAACCATATGTCTTGTCGCTGAGGGGTGGCTTTGATGGGCGTAGGGGTTAGCGAGCTTCTCACTATTGGAAGGAGGAGTTTCAATACTCCACTGAGGTTGGAGGTTTTGCAACGACTCAGCATTCTCGTATACGTATCATGGCACTGCAATGGCTATGAAATAAACTTGGAATCGTGCATATATCGCTTTGTTACTTGGCGCTGAAGTGCAGGCATTTGAGATAATTCAGTCTACGAAGTTCATGGGAGAAGAGTTGACTTCAAGAAATGTGAGTCATTGACGCTGTGAAAGACCTACGACTATGGTACAAACGCTGGATAATATTTGCAGGGTTTGCCGAAACCTTTGTCACAAGGGGGAGCATACCTCTGATGCTTAGATCAGGTTGAAAGGCAACAGAGAAAAACGCTCATCACTTTTACCTAAATACCTTCAGTAGTCAAGCTCTTCCGTTTAAAATATCAGATGGAATGATAAGTCCTTCCAGCAGATTTTCATACCCGAATTGCTATCTCGTTAGTGTTGGTGAGCAATCGTACAACATGTAAGCAGTATAGTATGAGATTTGAGCATCTAAACATTCAATGATCAGCCCTCCCCAGCACAATGTCCAACCCTTCCTCGAATTATCAATTTAAACAGAAGGGTTCAGTCAATAGAACACTGCGTGTTAATGCAAAAAAGAAGACACACGGAAGGCTTCCAAACCAGTTGAAGAAAAAATAGTCTTCTGAGCAACTTAGTGCGAGATCGCGTTTGTCACAGAAGAAAGAGTGCGCACCAAAGACTTGCGAACAATTCTGAAAAAGGAGTCATATGAAATCTACACAATTAGTGTTTCCCCCGTCTGCATACAAAGATGCTTCGCAAGCTTACAATGACCACATCTAGAATTACGCTGCTATAGCGCCAGCCTCCTGATCCCACGGGACTTTTTGCCATAAAAAGGATCTTGGGGACCTGGACATACTAAACCAGGACAAGAGGGTATATTGTATTTCTGAACATAGTGCTGAGATTGGTATACGTGTTACTAGGATTACTTCGTTTAATACAAATTAATAACATTTTCCAATTGTGTCCTCAATCTGCCACTGAAGGTTTGGCGTATTGCCCATTTACGGGTCGTGAAATCACAAAAATCACTTGTTTTACTCTGGCCGTGATCGTCAGCAGTAAGACGGTAATTTGTTAGCGATCGGATGCCATGGTATGTAAATCCCATCATAGTGAACGACTCAATATAGTATTTTCGCCGCACCAGCACATCGTTATGACGTCAGAGTAGTTCTTGAATTCTAACCGGCTTTTTCCCAAGCCTGTGATCCACTCTAGGCCTAATGGAATGTTACCTACGCATCATCTACATCTTGCATTTCAATGGGCATACCATCCCTGTACACCACACGTTCACGTCCGTAATAACGCCGTGACAGTATAATCAAATCTCAACATAACGTCATATGTATGGACTGAACTATGTGTTTTGTTGGCGGTCTGTGAGCCATCCCATTATCTCTCGTTGTATTTGATCAGAAATAGTTCATAATCACCATTTCTTTCCCTGCTGTGATCTTCTTGAGAAAAATATTCCGCACTGAGTGGAGGATATGGAGTACTACGTTAATTCAGTAAAGTCCATTTTTCAGCAGTTCACATTATTGGTATGTTGAGTTCAGAAACATTTCATGAAAGTTTCTATAAATGACAAAGCAATATGAAAAAATCGAACATATTGTGTTCGACAACTAAGGACTATGCAGGCTCGAAAACAGAGATTGTCCCAGCACAGATAACCAAACATGACATGATGGAAAACTGTGATGCACTTCCGAACACTGAGTTATCAATGAAATGTAAATGGAACGGATAACCTGCAATCTAGGTTCCTTCAAAGAAAATTAAGTAATCGAAGGAAAATAAACAAAATAAAATGTCAACGATAATACCCACAGTGATGTAAAAACAAAAGACATACAAAATATGAACATCAAAAATAATACATTTTCTAACGAAACTGGATGGTTAAGAAAATCTGCAGCTTTTTTTGATTTTTAGAACAAGGTTATACGAGTCAACACAGTATTTGATCCGAAGATCATAAAAGCTATTCAAAATCCAAAAAGAGCCAGTATGCATCATTCTACTACAAAACTTCATTCAAAGCAAGCTCTTTTCTTAAAATGGATGAGCGTTAAATTATATTCAAACCGGAAGTGAATAAGCATCAAAGATTAATGACAACGTTGTTTTTCAAAAGATGAATGGAGAAAGAGAGTTTATGAACTATGAAAATCGTTGAATATTTCGAGTGACGTCTCCAATTGTTCAGTGTTGTCACCCATAGGTAATTCATTTTACTTCAGGAGACACAATTGTTGATGGGTTTCCAAGCCTGCCTCATAACGAAACGTGCTGCCACATAAACACCTTCAAACAGGAAAGATGACACTCTTTTTCTCAAGGTTCTAGTCAATTTCTCCATTAAAACTACAATATCGAATTCACGGGATAACGTATATGTCCCGGTGTTGCTTGACACTACGAAATAAATGTTGCAGCTAATTCTGAGTTCCGTGGAGTTAGGGTGTGTCGGAATCCTGATTTGCAAGTGGCAAAGAATTCTACTTTTATGTGGCTTTCAACATCGACAAATTTTTTTTCTGAGAAATTAGTCCTCAATAATATCGATAAAGGATGTGGAGGATGGTGAGTACTCACTAATACACTCTCTCAACAGGTGGGTGAGTCAGTTTGTGCATCCCTCAGTTTCTTTGAATTTGAAAAATACCATTCCACAGGTCTCACCACACACATGCGATTTAATGTTCCTGTGAGTACAACGAATGTGTGCAGCTATCGCCTTAACAAACAAATGTAAATGATATTATGGTGAACTACGGATTCCTTAATTTCTTATTTAAGTGATGACAGATGAAAATGTGAGAACAAAAAAGAACTGCTTAATTTGCTAGACAAAACTACTCTCTTAGACAGCTACTACTCTTTTGATAGCACAAGTCTCGAAGAACTCACAAATGTGTTTTGCCTTTTAGAAAAGCTCTTTTGATAGCGCTGTAGGAGAAGGAAAAGATTAATGCGTTTTAACCTTGTTGGACAGAGCTTTTCCTTTGAACTATTAGCTATCATATGATTGCGTACGTCAAAATAAATCCAACGCTGTCCTTATTTTGCTGGTAAAGACCTTTTCACTGCGTTAATAGCAGGAAAAAGAATGTCAATGTTTCACATATTCGACGGGCTTGTTTCACCAGCTGGACCAAGGTGTTGGGAGCGGAGCGAACGGTCGATGGTCTAAAGGGTTAGACATGTGGAATAAAAAGGATAAAGCTCTCGGCTTTGATCAGTCTCCCAAAGATGGCGACCATGCATTCGTCTTCAATTTTTTTTTCGTTTAAAGTGATTGAGTGCTTATCTGGACTTTAAAATGACTCGCAGTGGCCCTTCCGCTAAACCGAGTCATTGTTGCTTATCCTCCCAGACGAATCCGAGATCAGTCTGCTGCGAACCGCCCCGGAGGGGTGGATATCTTGGTAATCCATGAGCGCGAGATTGAACCATTAACCTCCTGTGCGAAGCAGAGCACCTCTAGCCTCTGCGCCCACATGAGCTCTCTGGGGGCTGCCATTTGGTTATTTTAAACTGAGTATTTTTTTCTGTTTTGAGAGAAATCTCAAATAAGGAACTGACTCAGATACTACAAAATTTTCCTCTCAAAGTTCATAAGCTCTTCGTGTGTTTCCAGTGTATAATACGCGTTATGAAAGTGAAGGCGCACATAGGATGTGAAACATAATTTTATCTTGGATTTTACAGTGTCATAAGGGGGTGTTTTTAAGAAAACCGGCCACGTACGGCTCCAGACAGAGAATTAAGCTTTCGAACAGTGTTACAACTCCTATGAATTATTATTTGCCAGCAGTTTGAAGTCGAATATTCGTTGTCGCCGTCTAACAAAAAATTTCCCTTTTTTACTCCTGTGCACCAAAGCAAACCATTCTGCAGAAAAACAAGCAATCAAAGTTTTGGTATGCTTTAACTGGGTGAGAAATTATCGTCACATAGGTGAGTTTGAATTGAATATGCTCGCCGACCAATCTAGATTAGGAATGACTTCTTACGAAGTATCAACATTAGCGAGGAAGATTATCGATACATATAACGGCGAAAGTGAGATTATCTCTACATATCAGACTTATTAGAAATATAGCGATTAACTCATACACTAGGTGACTTCTTCACTATTCAGACAGTCCTAGGCACTTAAAGCCTTTTCTAAAAATTACGGATAACTTTTGCAGCGTCTACCAGTTTATGCGTAATTGAAGATGAGTGAGAATAATTGTCATTTTTCGAGGACAATCTAAAGGACGAGTCATTATCATCTTCTTGGAAGATATGTACGCTGTAAATCACTACACCAGCATGTGATGACAGTGGAAGCGGATGATAGTAATAGATGTTTGAGGCACACGAATAGAGGACCGATTGAGTAGCAAGAGCAACGAATTTCACAGCGCTAGCTTATGCCCGCAAAGCCAGATACACTATATACAGATACACATAGGTTAATCTCTATTCTTTTTCAGATAGTCTGATATAAACTCGTTACAGAAGAGTTCTTTGGCCACCACTGCCTAATCTCCTACTTTTTCGCTTTGTTACTTTGCAAGTACTTTGGTTTATCAATCAATTATCAAAGCATTAAAAAAGCGCGCGAATAGCTCAAAATTCGAGGAATATTCATTTCTCAAAAAACGTTGGAAAGAGATGGCTACCACTAACATTTGCTTTTGCCCGAAAACTACTCTGCTGGTGAATGAGTATGAGTAAAATGCAACACAGATTGACTCTTCGTAATAAAAACAAGTGCCTTCCTTTCACCAAATGAACTGCAAGTAATTACGAAACTAACCCTCAACAAAACGTTGACGGATAGCATAGTATTGAATACTCACCACTTCAACTGCAGAACTTTTGACCGCATTCTCCACAAATACAGTAGGCTTCTTTTTTGAAACAACATCGAATTACAAATCTTCGCACTACTAATAATCTAAAAGATTTTGAGTGACAAGCAAAAAATTCGACCTCAGGCAGGAGTTAAACCCGCGTTCCATTCATCCCAGGGACGCGTGCTACCACTACATCACAAAGGAACCGTTTCATTATCACTCATTCTTCAATATCTATATCATAGTTATCAGTCACCAACCACTAACAGGTTTGATCGTCTAAGCACATTTCGCTTTTAAAAACCCATTTGAGCTGGCAACCATTGTGATATATTATACCCAGAATTTCTTATGCTCTTACCACTTTTTCGAAAACGATGCCCCGGTAGTGTAGTGGTAGCACGCGCCTCCGGTAGGGTGAAACGCGGGTTTAACTCCCGCTTGAGGTCGGACTTTCGCCCACCCCTTAATTCTCATAGGTCTATTGAAACATCATAATACTGGGAAAAAAAGCAGCAAAAAACATGGGAAATCTTGATTATATCTGTTACTAGTTACAGAACTATTGCAAAGATTACCCACAAATGTACTGTGGAAATGTGTTCCCAGAGTCGAGAAGTCGACTTGAATTGCTTGTCACACTTCATGCATTTCGTAGGCAGCTGAAAACATCAGCACTACTACTAGGTTGCTGCAAAAATAGTGGCGATTTCGGTCTGTGTGAATTTTCAAATGAATGTCACTCGGCTTAAGCACGTCGCTACTGATCAAAATGGGAATCACTACTCATTGCATATTACGAGAAACACCTTCGATGATTGCTCTCACTTGGTCATTCTCAACTTCCTTTAGTCGACCAGTCTCCGTTACGAAACTTATTGAACCAATACTGTATTGTACGTTTGCCAGTAATTTTTGGGCCAAGAAATCTGCTGGTTTTGCGAGATGTTGCTGATGAGGTGTGGCCCATTTAGAAACTCGTTGTAAATAAATTCCTCGGATTTGCTTTTTGCCTGGCTTCCTTCCCGTGATCTTAAATAGATATAGAATGAACGGCATGTAAAGCGTGGTTATTCAAAACATAGAGCAAGAAATGTGCATTAAATGATATGTAACATATCCACATTTACTTAGCATTATATTGTAATATCAAACAGAAAATTTCAACAATGCATAAACTGCCACTACTTTTGCACTAACCTAATAAATCATGCATTATACGGTGGAACAAGAACAGAGAAGAATCTCCTGGGCCAAACGAGGGAAGTCTTCTCGATAACGCTCCATGGTGTCAAAATTAAGAGTGGGAACTGGATAGAGATGGTTTGAACTCACTGTTATACTTGGCTCGTCGCTTGAATGGGACGAGAAGTGCATACGTACCGATGGGAAATTCCTGTCAAACATTCGCTTCGTGGATGACATCGTCATTTTCTCAAAAACTAGTTGTGAAGTAGAGAGAATGCTCTAGATATTCAACGAAGCGAAAAAGATTGGACTACGCATAAATCGCATGAAGACTCATTTCATGAAAAAGCTCTGGTGCAATGATGAACATATCGAATTGAATGGTTCATCAATTATGGAGACCTCCTCGTATGTGTGCTGTGGTCGGTCAATGAATATGGAGAACATGAAAGAGGAACTTGACAGAAGAAGGAGAGCAGCTTGAGTCGCATACTAGCCTCTCAAAGAAGTACCGACCAACCTACCAGAACTCCGTGTTCACTTCTTAGATTCAACTGTTCTCGAGGCGCTCTTCTATGCAGCTGAAACGTGGGTTGATACTTCGACTCGTCAAGACCTGCGCGAACGACTTACAGAGCGCCTGAAACGATGTCTTCTGAAAATCAGTTGACACCCACAACACCTATTCGGCTTCCACAGCTCAATTCTCCGAAAATTATCACGTCTTCGAGACTCCAGAAGAACATGCATAGTGAACATAGGCGGGCCGGACATATAGCAAGAAGATCAAACGACAGATGGACGAAACGAATTGTAGAGTGGACTCTACGATGAGACACCCGTCTTCGAGGATGATCACATACCTATACGCTGGGCGGACGTGCTCATAAGAAAGATTAATCAATGTATTTACATCTGCATTGGCATCAGCTCTAATCGCACCTGCCGATATCCTGCACATCACGGTATGAAACTTGCGCCAGCCGCCATGCTCGAATTAAATCACCACTATTAAAGACAATCTCGCTAGAAGAGACGAACTGAAAATGTGCTGGGGTCCATACAATTCGTGAAGACAGTCCGTTTAAGCATCCAAGTAAGTAAGTAAGTAACACTTGGCCTTGCAGAAAACTTCTCGAAGCGCAAATCATCAGCGTGAAAAATTCCTAAGACCTGGAAAATAATCTTATTCACTCATACTGATCAGACATAATTGATCCTTCTGTCATTTCTACAAAAGAGGTGACGACTAAGCCTTCTTGCTCACCGCTAGTTCTCCAGCTAAATTCATAACTGCTTAGTAAAGCAAACTCTAATTTCTAGGTAAATCTTCCAGTGCAGCTCAACATCCATCCACATCATCTAACCGCCACAGCAAAGCAGATGACTTCTTTTAAGCAGTGATGGTGATGATGACGATGACGGCTACATTCCTAGCAACTTAGAGCAGCTTCTCTATAATGATGACAACTGCATGCACACAATCTTTTTGGCAGAAATCACGACCAGAATGTAAGAGCATTCCGTTATGACTGAGAAACCTTGGACCCACGTCTTCGTTTCAGTTTAACAGAACGGATTTAGAAACTCTTGTTCTACTCCAGTCTTCAACGAATGAAACGATTTGATGGAATACGAATTGGGCAACTGTTCACACCTGAACTTTGAGAAACATCAATATAACCTTATCATCATTATTTTCCACCCTCTCTTTAGAAAAACATATAAGGAGTGACTGAAGGTGCTGCACAACTACCCTGGCTAGCTAAGCCTCTCATCATTTTATCGTAAAAAAAAACCATATTCTGGAAGGATAAGGAAACTTGTGGCTATTTAATCACCTCCAAGACAGTCTTGATAAAGTTGAATGCATTGGGGATTTTCGAGGACTGCTCAATGTCAAGCTTCTTACGCTTTATAACCTTTCTTCGCGGAATCAACAACGTGTTTTCCTGACTTTGGTGAGGCGTATCATTTCGTCGTGTCCAAAAAAGCATAAAAGCACTCTTGGTCTCTTCATGCCCAAATAAACATCACTAAAGTTAAAAAAATCTAAGAAACTTAACGTCGTTTCATATGGGACTGATTCTTAGCGAAAACAGCTTTATTAATATACACATGCACTACCACTGCGAGTGCAGAAACTGAACAGAAATTACGAGTTGACCTCGCCATAACCCACAAATGTACAAAGTTGTAGTTGAAATCAACCAATCTTATTTGATGTACTCCAACAAACTCTTTTTCCTCCGCCAATAATTCCGATACGGATTAAAAGTGGTGTAACCAATTTTTTTGCCACACACACCAAGAATAAGGAACACTTGGAAAGAAACCACGCTTACTGAAAGAGTTCAAAACGTCAGGATTAAGTTGAAGTCTCTTTTTTTACGGTGCTGTTCTATTATGGCTGCGCCACCTGAGGCATCCGGTAAAAGCGTACTCTTTGTTGTTTCTGACGAATGTATGGTTATGTGATAGCTTAAATCAAGAGAATTCAAAAGTATTTCTATTTCTCATATTGACTGTTTTTAACGCCGTACCAAGAGGAATGAGATTTTGTTTCGCATTTGAGGATTTCTCGCCTAATAAAAGTTTTTTCTATGACAATATTTTAACCATTCAAAATAATTTAAAAAAAAAGACAACTCCCTCCTTGCTACAATGCAGGGCTTAATGTGGGGCCTGGATCACTGACGAGGAGGGCGAGACATCCGAAACACGCGTGAATGGCCCTAGCGCACCAACCTCGCCTAAGCTTTTAACACTCCTTTTTTAAAATTATTTTGAATGTTTATTGTGAGATTTTAAAAACAGTCGACGCCATGAACATTTTTTTAGATAGAGCAAATCTCTCTGATTGAGAAAATGTGCTTGCTCTTTAGAAAAAACTTCTTAGAGCTATGTCCGCAAAAGAAGAGTGGGTTTCACACAACTGAAATATCGTTGTTTCCCACACCTCTTCAGAAACATTTTTTTTCATGTTGCTTTTTAGCTTAATCAATAGCTCAAATCTAGACAATTCTAGCAATATACTTGTTCTAAAGGAAACCTTTCATTTCGTTGTAACAGCCAAACTAAAAGTATGTTTCACACTTAAGGCGTTTCAACGCGCCTTACTTGGCTGATTTCATGTACCGCAAAATGATCGCGGGTGAAAAAAATGTGATTATTGCAACCTTCCGTTTATTTTTCGCCAATGTCCCAGTTGTAATCTCCATTGTCGATTTATGTAACAATTTTTTAAAATCGCTCTTGGATGCGATCAAATTTTTCTGGCCTCCTGAAAAGTGATCTATATTTTAGCATGAGTTTGTCTATCTTTGAAACACGTTAAATTATTTTCAACAATCTTTTTTCTGAAAAACCACATGGACATGTAGAAAAAATTCTGTGGCGTCGGAGAGATCTCTGGTTTTCATCAAGAAATCCACATATGATTTATGCAGTGGATTGGTATTACAGCTGTGCACACACCCTAGCCGACTAGAAGTGCTCACTGAGGGTGCAACCCAGTATTCTTTCAGCTGTTACAAAGCTCGAAGAAGTCTTTTCCAAAAGCCCAGTAAAATTTTATGATTGGAAAAATTTTCTCTATTTAATGTCTAAAAGTTCATTAAGAGAAAACTTTTACCCAGTGAGAAATCTACGAATGAGAAACAAAATCTTACTTTGGATGGTACGGCGCCAAAATTAAGATATTTGAAAAATTATACTTGCCTTCGAAATTCATTTGATTTAAGCTATCGATAAGTCACAAAAACGTTTTGCAAAAGCAAAAAATACTTTTTTACCGAAGGCCTCAAATGGCGCCGCCACAGCAGAACAATACCTTTTTTACTAGACCTACCTGGAAATCCGTTTTGTTTTTCGTCGTTTCTATCTACACCCTTGTTCTTTTTACCTAGAGTATAACGAACTAAAAAAACGAATAATAATGAGTGAAGGAAAACTTACCCCTTCCACGTCAAAGTTCGAATTCACATGACGGGTCCACATTGTTTCGAAAGAAAGGAGCTAACACATGACTCCAGTTGATCGCGAGACTTAACAAAGAGAAGCTCATTCAGTGTTTTTTGTCATAGATCCAAGGTTATTAATAATAGCAATCTTAGAATTCGATAGTAAGAGAGCACGATAATGATACAATGACTGACTATCGGCGCTTTCGTCTTGATTTCAGAGCCTGGAAAGGTCAAGCTGATTGCAGTCCAAACAGTTGAGACTTTCGTAGCCCTGGCAGAAGAACTGATATTCAATC